CTGGCAAGTTCCCGTCCAGCAGGAGGCATACCTATAGGCGCCCAAAGAATGGTCGAGAGGCAGCTCGAGAAAGGGCGACTTTGCCGGAGAATGCCGTTTGGAAGCTCAAGAAGGAGTGGTACGGCAGGCGCATTGCTGGGCAATCTTTTGTGGAGTGGACTGCCGGGCAGGGCGCTTGAAGAACTTATCGTTTGAGCATGGTTTTTCTTCAATGCAAGCACAGGTGTGGCGGTCGAAGAGCATATGGATGGCATCTTTGCCACTGGACCCTACAAAGCATTGGTTGGCTTTGAGAAGGAACTTCATGGACGCATCGAGATGAAAAGCTAGATTGCTAGATCCACTTGCAGAAGCCCGGAGAGAAGTTCACGCACCTCAAGAAGACCAGAGAGATCCACGAGGGGGAACTCCTCGAAGCAAGTACATCACAGGCCTGCTGAGCATGCTTGGTCTGAGTGAGTGCAACGAGGCTCCTGTGTCATACATGCACACTGAGGTGAAGGATGGCAGAAGTTGACCGGCGAGCAGGTGAAGCTTTTCCATGCTGGAGTTGGTTTGGCCTTATACCTCTCCTATGACCGGACAGACATCCAGTTGGCAGTCCGGGAGATGACAAAAGATATGAAGGAACCTTGCGAGGGCAGCATGATCTGATCAAGTTGCACCGTCTGGCAAGGTATCTCCAGGGCACACGTGACTTCGGTGCGTGGCTCCCTCGAAGTGGGGGGATGGACAAGTTGATCGTCCACTCGGACACGGACTGGGCAAATTGCAAAAAGACGAGGAAGGGTTGCGCTTGCGCCATGTTCGTGGTTGGCAACTGCCTGATCTGCAGCCATGCAAGATCATTGCAGATGCTTTGCTTGATTGAGTTCAGGCGAGGCAGAGTTCAATGGTGGAGTGTCTTTGGCTTTGCGGGCAACTCCTTGAAGATGGAGGTCTACTTGGACAGCAGCGCCGCCAGAGGCGTGTTTCAGCGCCAGGGTGTCGGCCGGATTCGACACCTATAGAGGTCAAGAGCTTGTTGTGGGCGCAGGAAGCACTCCTTAGGAAACTGTTTTCTTTGCGTGCGGTCCCTTCCCAGGACAACACAACAGACTTTGGCACGAAGGCCTTCAGAAGTTTGGCAGTGGGAATTATGAGAAAATCGAGAAGAAGGCAGCGATTCAAGAGAAGGAGAACTACAAGAGCGTGGCAGCTGTGAGCGCAGTGGAAATGGAAGCACTGCTGACATTGCTTCAGTCAGCAGACGGCTATGAGATTGAGCCCAATGTGGACAGCAAGGGTGACTGGGTCTTCACTGACCTTGGCTTTGGCATCAGCATCGCGCTCCTACTCCAGAGCTTGATGTTGTTGATTTTCTTCAAGTGTGTGACCCGGCACTTCCAGGTCTATTGGGGGCTTGAGCCTGGGCACAAAGGATGCCACGACTGCAGGGAAGGGAGTGCAGTGTGAGATCAGCGCATGGTCGAGCAACGATTCCCTGCGCCTGCCACGAAAATTTACGTGTCCACACGTCTAACACGCGCAAAGTAGCGTGCCTGCCACGAAATGTGACCTCCGCCACACCTCGCAATCTCACAATTCCCTGCGCCTGCCACGAAAATCACACTTCCACACCTCAAAACCCGCACAAAGCACTATGCCTGCCACGAAAAGTGACACTATCATATCATGTAAGCTTCAACAAAATGTGCACCACACCACACGTCTGGAATGATTTCGACCCGTTCTGAGCACACTCCCATCCACCATCATCCACCAATATCACCATTTCAGCGGAGACTTGTCACGAAAACACAGCTTCGATGCAACACCCTGAAACGCAAATCCCAATGTCACAGCCACATCCAACACCCCAAAAACACCACCCTCCAAACGCCAATCTCAATGTGACTACGCAGAAAACTGCGGATCTCACAAAACGCTGCGCAGGCAGTGAAATCGTTCTCTACACTTTAACATCTTACGTTTCACATGTTTCCTCGCTATTTCACATGAATCTGACACGTCATGCTTCCACGCCAAACCCTCTCCAAAAGCTTCCCCCAATGGCAGCGGCCATAGCGCCCTACTGCGGACGGTTGACAACGGTTGACAACGGCTGCGAACACTGAGACAACGGGTCACGAGCAAGGCTCTACCCCCAGACCCCCAGAGTTAAGCGAGAACCCTTCGCTACGCATTCGGGAAAAGAAAAATAAGACGGGACAGTTTATTATTGACCAGAAAAGTTCGATTATATAAGCCAGGAAGCATCTTGTCACACTCTGGAGATCCTTCAGCTCCCGAGTGCGACCACTTTGCGACGGTGAGGTGCTGTCCTCTGGTTTCGAAAGCTGGGCAGAGGAATCCAGCACACACATTGAGTGGAAGGTAGGAGCAAGAAACTACTAGTAGCAAGAAGCTAGTAGGTGAAGGCCATCGCTATTGGCTTGGAGGCCATTTCTACTAGTGACAAGAAGCTACTAGAGCAAAGGGAAACTCCATGAAATTCCACAAGCCGTTTGGCTCCCCGGTGCGCAGTAGTAGGCTGCCAAGATGAAGCACCTGCCTTGCGTCTCAGGGTTCTTTGCTGGCCTGTCCTTGTGGACATGTTCGTTGACACTACGAGGATGTGATGTTCTGGCAGGTGACGGCGATGAGGGTAGTACGCTCAATGTCACCACGTCCACAGCCCCCGCAGAGATCATGAGCACGGTAGCAGACACCACCTTGGCAGATACTACCTCGTCCACAGCCCCGGCAGAGATCATGAGCACGGTAGCAGACACCACCTTGGCAGATACAACAGTGATAGGGACCACGGCTCCAGTAGATAGCACAGCTGCGGCAAATGCCACCACCCCAACAAATACCACAAGCACGGCTGTGACAGGTACCATAGCCCCGCCAGGTGCCACCATGACCACGACCATGATCGCGACCGTGACCGCGACGGCGACCATGAGCGCGACCATGACCGCTACCGTGACAGCGACCATGACCACGACCGTCACTGTCACCACGACCATGACTACGAATACCACGACCGTGACGACCACAAGCACGTCGATGACGACTGCGACCACGACCACGGGGACAAGTAGCACCACAACTACTCCACCTCCGCTTGGCACTTGCTTTGGTGGAGGGAAATTTGACGGTGGAGCTGGAGCATGCTCAGACGTTGAGCTGAGAGGTGCCACCAGGGTGATCTCAAACACCTGTGCCTACGTAGCCCTTAACCAGGATGGCACAGGTGTGTGTTGGGGGGATCAAAGTTGTGGGGCAGATTGTCCTAACATTGACTTTGCAACAGATATCTATGCAACGTCTCTTGCTTTTCTTGCCTTGAACAAGACCGATGGGAGGGCCGTTTGTTGGGGACGAGATCCGACGACCAACTATTATGGAGAAAACTGCTCCGGCCTTGACTTCACGGGCGTCACCCATGTCTACGCTTCTTCAACAGATTTTGTGGCCTGGAACAGCATTTCTGGCACCGGCTTTTGCTGGGGAAGAAATGGCGATTGTGCGGGCCAGGACTTCACGGGCATCACCGACATGTATTCCTCTAGTGATGGGTTTATCGCTTTGAACCGAAACGCAGGCACAGGCTTTTGTCTTGGCAAATTTGCCCATCGCTTTTACTGTAGCCGCTACGATTTCGGTGCTACGGGCTTGGAGATCTACGCCTTTGACGATGGCTTTGTCGCTGGGCCAGCCGGTGGACAATACAAATCATCGACCATGGATGTAGGGTCACTGGCTGCTGGCAGTTTGACAGGGACCACACATACATATTCCACAAACACTGCCTTCTTGGCCTTGAACATGAATGCGGGAACAGGTGTTTGCTTTGGAGACGCTAGCAAAGGAGGCGACTGCTCCCAGATTGATTTCACGGGCGTGACGAGCGTACATGCCACGGCTGGGGCATTCTTGGCACTGAACACGGCTTCGGGCACGGGCACTTGCTGGGGGGACATCGACTGCAGCAGCGTCGACTTCACTGGCGTCACTGACGTCTACTCCACCGAGTATGCCTTTTTCGCGTTGAAGAGCAGCGGAACAGGTTTTTGCTTTCCAGTGTCAGACAGTGAAGATGATTGCTCACAGATAGACTTCACCGGGGTCACCCATGTGGTCTACACTCAACGTAGCTTCCTTGTCATCAAGTCCGATCAGCCTGAACTACTAAGTACGGAGGGCTACCGTGATGACTTTAACCCCTTCGTCGTGCCGTAATTCAATCAGCAATGAGATCCCCCAAAGCTTTGGGGAGAGGCCAGCTCTGCAAAACGCACTGGCTGCCTAAAAACGGATCAACTTGCATCGCGCCAAAAAGAGCATTTGCCTCATGCGCGGTGTGCTGAGTGTTTGATGAACTTGGCCCAGAGACATGCATTTCTCGGATGCACTTTTGGAGTTTGCATGGAAGCGTTCCTCCAATGTGTCGCTGTATGGCGCGTTTCTGTGGCTTAGTCAACATGGTCCAAAGTTTGGAAAAGGGGCGCATTCTTGTTAGGAAAAAACATCTCAAAAGGCGAGACAATGTTAAGAGGGATTCTGTGCTGTACCATGCTATACCCTTACCTTGTTTTTCTTTCCTTTTCTTGTTCTGGACGAAGCCAGACAAGACCTTCCAATGCTTTGCACAAGCGCTTCATGTAGCTGACTTTCCAGGATGGAGACACGGTATCGGCAGCGTCGATGCCAGACTCCTTACGACTCGCTGCCGTTGTGTCATGTTAAAAGCAACCTGCTGTCGTTGGTCACCAAGAAGAAACATGTCCGTTGCAGTCGATTTCCATGTTTCTCATGAGAAGCACAGGAACAAACTGCTAGCTAGAGTTGCTTTTTACGTCTTTGCCTTTGCAAGTGCTCTCTGTGTGTTTCCTGCATTTCCACCCATCCGATTCTGTCAAATCTTTAGAGTTTCAGCTTTTCCAGGGGCGTGGTTGCAGGTTTCCACTGAACATCTTACACTGCACTGTAGCTGCCCTGTACTATCTGTACTCCGCCCCAACAGTTTTCTGTGCAGATGGTTGTGTGGTTGGCATAGGCTTGGCATTAAGCTAGAGTTCACTAGCTGCAAGGCCTCTTCCAAACCTCAACAAAAAACCGGTCTTAATCTTTATCTTAAGCATCAAAACTTAGGTCCATTACCCCGTGCAGTTGCTCTACCACACCACGTGCACATCTGCGCGCCGACCGTTTGGTTTTTCCCCTTCACTCGTCAGTGCATGTGCACTCGTTCATGTGCGTTCTCTGCAATTTTTCGTCGCACAAAGACCGGGGTAGAAACCTACCTCGGTCCATCCAGACTTATGGCTTTCCTGCTTGACTGATGACTGAGCTGTACTCACAAAACTGAGAGACTAAACCAATAAAGCTAATCATTGAGATTACTGGTGGTGTGGCAGATGGCCAGCCAAGCCAAAGGTCAGGCCGCCCTTTTTCTTTCTTTCGTTCTTTCTCTTTTCTTGAGTTGTGAGCTTCTCTTTTCTTGAGTTGTGAGCTTAAAAGAACCATTCTCTTTGTAATTTATGTCAGAATTGAGTCTTTGCCCTGCCCAGGCGCAATTTGATTTGGTTGAATTTGTGTTCTGCTGTGGGGAAGCCATTTTCCATTCCCTTCCTCCGGACGTGCCATTTGCTATGTGCATGGCTGCCCGCTGCAAAACTGGTCCAGTCAAAGATGACGGCTAAGGCACCAGCTGGCATGTAGGGAGTGTGCCACGAGCAAGATCTTGCGTTGGAGGAATGCCCGCACGGCATTCGCATGGCCCTCGTTGCAGCGTGGGAGGCCAAGAGGACACTGAAAGGGCAGAGGCTCCAGCTTGTTTAAGCGCTCAGGTCCGCTGCCACGGCTGAAGCTGTGACTTTCCCAATTGATTTTGGGAAGACACGCATGCAATTGCATGCTGGAAGGTTGGGCCACCGAGCTGCGTGTTTTTCCTGTTCCTGTTGCGTAGACGCGTAGACACTGCCAGACACGTATACCCCTCCCTCCCAGGCAAACCTTCTCTGGTGCCTTGGAACTACCGGCGTGTTGAGACAGGCCTTCTGATTGCTAGTTCACAGCGTTTTCACACTGTGTCAGGCCTCCGCAGTCCGCAAAGAAGGAATAGGCGTGTTCCTTACTTAGTTTGACATGTTTTTTGTTAGCTGTTAGCTACTATGTTACTATGTTGCCTCACGGTTCCTGCATGTCAGTCAGTGGTCACAAACCCCAGTACAGATGCGAGGCGGAGTCTATGCTGGTATCCAGCTGCTGACCCAGGCAATCGGAATGTGAGACGTTCGACGACCACACCGCTAAGGCCAGCCATTGTTCGTCATCTTGTGTATTCATCCTTGCGGATCTCTTTGTACGAGGCTGGCACATGTAGCTGACAGAATCTGGTGAAATTCATCACAATGCCAGAAGGAAACCATCGCTACTAGGCCATCGCTTTCAGGGTGGAGGCAACATTCGCTCTTAGGTTGGAAACCATCGCTACTAGGGTGGAGGGCGTTGGAGGCCATCGCTACTAGGGTGGAAGCCATCGCTCTAAGGGTTGAGGTCATCGCTTTTAGGTTGGATGCCGTCGCTCTTAGGGTGGAGGTCATCACTACTAGCATAAAGGCCATCGCTCTTAGGGTGGAGGCCATCGCTACTTTTTCCCCAAACAGTTGTTCTCAATTCTTTCTTAAGATGTGTCCGCCGTTTGTGTCACTGCTGGTGTCCACCCTTTTCCGCTGGCGATGCAACATTGCTATTCATTTGTCTCCCAGGTCTGTCACTGGTGGTGTCCACCCTTTTCCGCTGGCGATGCAACATTGCTATTCATTTGTCTCCCAGGTCTGTCACTGGTGGTGTCCGCCATATTCCGCTGGCGATGCAATATTGCTATTCATTTGTCTCCCAGGTCTGTCACTGGTGGTGTCCACCCTTTTCCGCTGGCGATGCAACATTGCTATTCATTTGTCTCCCAGGTCTGTCACTGGTGGTGTCCGCCATATTCCGCTGGCGATGCAATATTGCTATTCATTTGTCTTCCAGGTCTGTCACTGGTGGTGTCCGCCTTTTCCGCTGGCCATGTAGCATTTCTATTCATTTGTCTCCCAGGTCTGTCACTGCTGGTGTCCGCCCTTTTCCGTTGGTCACGTAGCATTTCTATGCATTTCTCTCCCAGGTTTATCGCTGCTGGTGTCCGCCCTTTTCCGTTGGCCATCCGCTGGCCATGCAGCATTTCCATTCATTTGTCTCCCAGGTCTGTCACTGGTGGTGTCCGCCCTTTTCCGCTGGCCATGTAGCATTTCTTTTCATGTGTCTCCCAGGTCTGTCACTGGTGGTGTCCGCCCTTTTCCGTTGGCCATGCAGCATTTCTAGTCATTTGTCTCCCAGGTCTGTCGCTGCCTTCTGTCTCCCTTTGTCTCTGGTCTTGTCTCCCTTCTTGTTGGGCACTGTGTCCGTCTTGTCTCCCTTCTGTCCTTTACATTTGCCTCCTCTCTCCCCCTCTCGCTTGCATTTGTCTCGCAGCGCTGGGCTGCTGTGTCCGCCTCTGCCTTGCAATCCTTTATTACATGTGCCCTC